CTGTTTCAGCATTTAAGAGCCAGGTATCGCATCATATCGTGTCTCCTTTGCAGCAGCCGTGTTGTTCTTGTCAGGAATGTGCCCTCTGGCCTGAGTTTGGATCAAAGAATTAGTGATGTGTTCGTTTAACCAGAGAGAGTTCGACTGCTCTTGTGTCTGACCTGCGCGTCACTGCACAGGAATGCGTCGGGCAGTTTCTTAGACAGTCCGATAAATCCGGCCCGGCCTCCCGCAGCCGCTACAGGTAGCTAGCCGACAAAGTCTAGATGGTAATCGACCGGCACCTGACGCCATCTGATACGCTTGAGGAGCCAGGAGAATGTCTGTGTGGTGACGAATCCGCCCCGTCCAGAGTAGATTATGTCCCAGACATGCAGGCCTGGACTCACTAGGAAGTCATTCTCACTCACAGGAGCAATCTTAAGACAAACAGGGGCGTTTTGTACTTGTTTAACCCGCAGACTTCCAGTTATAAAGTAACTAAAGTTTACCCTTTAAACTCCCGTGCTAATCCTCCTTAATTACTTACTCTGTCACCAGGTTCAAGCTTTGCAGATGTAATTGAAAAGCCTCTCCTTACAGCCGACTCTGGAGCTTTGCATGTGTCTGGTTAACTCACCATAGATGGCGTCTAAAGGCAGCCCGCTATAGGAAATGCAAGGAATTTGCTAGACTGGATTATGCCACGGAAACAAAAACAAGTAACAGATGCTGGAAGTCTGCTGATGAGTGCACTTTTACAGCCCTGAGCTTTTTTTCACGTCTTTGAAGAGTTAAGAGCTCATTCTGACACGCTTTGATGCTCGTGGTTGCGGGAGAACGAGAGGGGAAACGGACCGAGCGATGAACCCACAGAGGGACGGGGAACAGATCAGCGGACAGTCGGGTGCACGGTGCAGACACAGAGGTACAATTAGAAAGTCACAAAGCACAAGTCCAGAGTTTAGAGCAGGTGTAGTGTGAGAGCTCTGCTGCAGACACGCATCACACTGCAAAGTGACCAGCTGATGCCGGCTGTGTGGATTACTGCATCATATCTTCGGGTTGCGTGTCCTGATTGCCGGCGGCCCGTCGCCTACATCGCCGGTGCACCTTCTCGTTCCTATAGCAACCGACACCAGCATAGCGATGAAACGGCTACGGCAGCGTTTCCAAGTGGTTTCTGGTGGAAGGAGCTCTGTGTGGTGCATATGACTTCATCACTGTATTTTCCTCTCATGATGCCCAGATTTGAAGCACACAAGCCAGTGGACATCACTCAGTCCACATTTAGACATGTCAGTTGTGATTAGTTTATAGGTTTTTGTTCTGTTGAGCTCTGAATATTGTTAACATGGTGCAATGATCAGTTTCTTAACAGGTAATGATCAATAAACAAAGGCCCACATACTTACAGTTTAGTATTTCTTCCCAAATGCAGTCTGAGTAGATAAATACAGCCTCTGTTGATGGGTGGGAGTTACACGAGAACAATAAAGTACTGCCTGATAACTGTGCACGCTTACTTTGTAAGTTCATACTGGAACGTTAGAATAGGCGGATCATCGATCTCTTATTTTAGAATACATCTTCACTCATATTGATCAGCTACTGATTGATCAGGAGAACTCTCAGCTGGATGTTTTTATAGCGTACACATGGATACTTTACGAGCACACTGGGGTTTCATTTTGATTTTCCTCATGCGACGCTCATCCTGATTTCATCCTAATGGAGACCTCCACAGCGGGAAGCGTTTCAGCCTCGTGTCAGGAAGCAAAGCAAGCAAACACACCAATCTCTCTCTCTCTCTCTCTCTCTCTCTCTCTCTCTCTCTCTCTCTCTCTCTCTCTCTCTCTCTCTCTCTCTCTCTGCTTCAATTTGAATAAGATGCGATGGCTATAATCATGGGGGAAGAACGAGGGCGTGGAGGAGATGTGAAAGGATGGAAGTGTGTCCCCGCCTCCCAGTGTTGGAGTGTGAATGGGGCTGCCCACCCTTCTCTGCAGGGGGTTCCCTCCCTCTCCTGCAGCATGTGTTCTCATTACACACACTAGACTACAGCATAACATGCAAAGATCATGCATTCTGTTATCGCTTCATGAAAAAATGGACATCACAATCTTTCAATGGCTTGTTTTGTCTGACCAACAGACCAAAAACTATACAGTTAACAGTAATATTAAACTGAGAAAATGTCACATTTAAGAAAATAGATCATTGATGCCTGACAACAACAACTAATTGATTACAAAAATAGTAGCTTTTCTGTCCAGCAATGAATCATCTTCATGTTTAACAATGCTAATAACGTATTTTTAAATTTATTTTGCTCAACAGTAAAATTCAGTTATCTGTGCCGTGTCATAATTTGTGATCGTCCACGGTGCACTCCGCCTCTCGCCTCATGTCAGCTGGGATCGATTCCAGCCGCTTGCTGGTTTGTAAAGGATAAGCAGTAACAGATGAAGGATGTACGGATATCATAACATGCGTTAATCTTATACCCAGAGCTGAAGACAACAGATGAACAGTCTGTGAGGCTCAGTAGGCTGAACTCTAGAGGAGTACTGACACAGCAAATATTCACTCATCACTGTTGTGACAGTAATCACATCTTAACCACAACATCAACGCAATGATGGTGAAGGCACATGCACCCACTCTCTTTAACCATATCAGTGGTGGCTCCACTTCTACTGTAATGAGAAAAGTCTTCTCCGAAACATCCCTAACATACGAGTTTATTACTTGCTGTGCTGCAATCATGCTGTCATGTACACAGACACTCAGAAGGAATAAGCCAACTGTGCTTTGACTGTGTGACAGTTATTCTGTCTGGAAGGATTCAGAGACTCCACGACTAAATATGCGGCAGACTTGCAAGACTTTACCAGAGTCACACAGATGGACACGTGTGGTCTGAAGTCAGCTCTCTGCACTTCACTGCTTCACGTCACGGTTCAGTGAAGTTTAGATGTGCGGTGTTTGTGGAGGCTACAGAGGTCATTTGTCTTCATCGTGGTGTCCGTGGTTCCTCTGCCGTGTGTTTTATTGGGTCATTGGACCCGGTGGACTTTATAAGCTGTTCAGATCCACCACCTTTTCACATGTTCTGGTTGAAAGAAGCGCTCTAGATTTAGTGTTCAGGGACAGGTACTTCAGAAATGGAAGCAATGCCACAGAAACCAACTTTGTGATCCTCACACGAAACATTTTGAGCTGACAGTGTGTCATGGAGGTGATGAATCAACCCTGTGGCAGTTTGAGGTGTGTGTGTGTGTGTGTGTGTGTGTGTGTGTGTGTGTGTGTGTGTG